AAATACTCAGGGTTCAACGCTAAGGATTTTTTCTACTGGTCCGATCGGGCAAGTGGTTTAGATTTTTACTTGCCCTGCCAAAATTTTCACTGGCCCCACCAAAAAAAAAGGTAAGTTAATAGCTATTTTTATCCACATATTTTAAATAATGTGTCAAAAATAAAGTCTGTAAATCTAGAATTTCAATACTTAAAAAAAAACAATTGTAAATATAAGTGTTATGCAAACAAAAACAGCAGTATGGAAAATGTGGAGGTATTTTATTGCAGTTTGAAATTATTTACCAAAAGCTGGCTGACTTGTCAAACTGACGGCAAACTATGCATAACATCACTAAATTTTTATTTTATCATGTTGTTTCCATGTAAATGTCTACTTCCAAGACGCTAGAGACAGACATTTTCGTTTAGCCTTATAATTTGATGTTGCTGACATGTTGCTGTTTCTACGCTGTACTGGTTGTTACCAGGTAACAAAAAAAATAGCATGGTTAACTCAATCATATAAGACGAATCAGAAAGCAATATGTTGTTTACGACATTACAGAGAAGGTAGCATTTAAAGACTTAAAAGCTTTAAATGCACGCAATTGACAAATAGTCACAGACAAATTAAATGTTAGTGACTGACTGACTGACTGTCCCAATCGGGCCAGTAATGATCCGGTCTACTGTCCCAAGTGTCTCTCACACTGGCCCTGGGCCAGTCCTTATTGTTGAGCCCTGATACTCAAAAACGTCTCTGTCAATGTTTCCAAACTATAACATTTGATTTACCAAAGTCAGACAAGTGCTAATTTCACATTTATCACATCCATAACGGAGAGATGCCACATCCATAACCAAGCTTTATCCTCATAAAACCAAAAAATGTCAAATAAAATAAAACCAATTATTTTGTTTTACAGTAAGGAAACACTTATCCTTTTAATTAGCATTGTTTCTTTTGTGTTGTGCTGTTTAATTCACAGAATTTCTACAAAGTATGTTGGATACTGTAAACTTAATCGTTTACAGACTGATATTTTTCTGATCCCTTTCTAGTTAGTTGTTTTGAAAAACATAAATAGATGTTTCAATATTATGTTAAAATATACTTTCTCTGTAAATTTATGTTTTTGAATTTTTACTGCAAACGTCACATCCATAACGCTGGAATTGCTGATTAGCTCGTTTTGAACAACACTTAGGATGGGCCTCAACGATCTTGCACTTTTGATCTTTGCTCGTTTTTGGATTTCATTTATTATATATTTCTTCTCTCTCCTAAGATTAAAATGAATATGGTTCTGATCTTAAATAACCTATAACGTCTTGCAGGGCAAGTTCCACCCTTGATGAGGATCTGCAGAAAATGCTTTTGGAAATAGCCGCAGGACAGGGAACTCCTAGAGGCCCAGGGGCTCTGTGAGTGTTGAAGAAACTCGTTTTTGCACACAAAAACCACACAACATCCTGCTTTTTATAACATGGTGTCCGTGGGACACCATTTCAAAAACAACATATTAAGCTTTAAATTCACTAAAATATGGTCTTGTAGGTCTTAAATCACTTTAAACAGGTGTTCATTTCCCTAATTTTCCCTTTTGGGTCTTTGTCTTAACAAACCATCTCAATAAAACCTTTAACAAATGTACAATTTTTCTTACAAAAACATTTGTTCATGTATTTACAACCAGTGTTTGGGGTTACTCATCAAGTAACGTGAGTTACGTAATAATATTACTTTTCTAAGTAATGAGTAAAGCAGTGGTCACCAATCTCAGTCCTGGAGGGCCGGTGTCCCTGCAGGGTTTAGCTCCAGCCTGCCTGAATGTTTCAAGCACACCTAGTAAGACCTTGATTAGCTTGTTTAGGTGTGTTTGATTAGGGTTGAAGCTAAAACCTGCAGGACACCGGCCCTCCAGGAACAAGTTTGGTTACCACTGGAGTAAAGTAACGCATTACTTAAAAAAATAAGTAATAATACTTGAGTTACTTTTTTAAAAATGTAACTTGAGTTGGTTATACAGTGTGTCGTTAATTGCAGAGCTCCTAAATACCCTGCAAGCTCTGAAACCTAAGCTTCAGCAAAGGTATAAAAAAGTAACTCAAAAGTAACAATGCATTACTTTCCATAAAAAGTAACTAAGTAACGCAACTAGTTACTTTTTTGCAGGAGTAACTTAATAATGTAATGCATTACTTTAAAAAGTTACTTTCCCCAACACGGCTTACAACTATAAGGACACTAGCCTGGAGAACCTAAACTAGTCTCTTTTTAAAATAAAATTATTCTGAATAAAGGTACATATGTATGTATATAACCAGAGTTTTCTTGTTTTCACACATTTAAAATACGTGGCTAAGAAGTTACTTCATTAGATTTTTTTTTAATGGGGCAAGTAAAAATCTTTTCCACAGATCTTTAGAAAAAAATTCTTAGCAGATAGGACTGCATGATATTGAAAAAAATTGACATTGCAATATTTTGTTTTGCTGCGATATATATTGCGATATGAATACAATTTCACCAGATAATTTGAATAGCTCTATTTGGAAAGTTTCGATCGACTGGTATGATTAAGTCTTTTTCTATGCAGTGCATATGCATAAATTATAATAAATTACAAGCAAAAATAAATAAATAAACAGTGCTATATGGTTTTCTGGGGACTCAAACGGTATTCAAGTACAGAAATTGAACATTTAAATGTAAAATCATTGTGTAAATAATTTCAAAATTAATACTATTTAATAATATCTATATCTTTTAATCTTTCATAAACCATCTAATCCTGCGATGTGACTATTGCAGCTACACATATTGCGATATCGATGTTCAAACTATATATTGTTTAGCCCTGTTAGCAAGTTTGAAGTTTAATTCATACTGGTCTTTAAAAATCATTAATTTGACTTGGTGAAACCTGCAGAAATCCTGTATAAACCTGTCATATTTCACACTTCACCAAAAATGAAAATTGACACCCTCTCAAACACATTTGGAACAAGTGAAGGATGAGTCAATGAAGACAGAAATTCATTTTTGGTGAACTATCTCTTTTAATAATATCAAACAATGATCTACACTTGGTCTAGGCTGTGTCAGTCTGATATTAAAGGAGAGGGAGATGTGAGAGACTACATCTAGACAGCAGGTGAGTGGAGAGATGTAATGAGGTCGTTTTTAGCCTCAAAAGCCAAATGCAGTGTTTAACAGTTGTGGTTTTTCTCTGTAGACAATATAAATGAGCTGGAAGAGAAGACGGAGGCAGCTGATCAGGAGAACCATCCTAACAGGTGCGCAAGAAGCATAAAACATCTTGATTAACACAATGCCAATAATCCTACTGTTTATTAAAGGAATAGATAGGTTGGGATACACTAATGGCCCGTTTCCATTGAGTGGTACTGTACGGGTCACCTCTATCAGGCTTGCATTTACACTGCCATAAGGGTATCAATTGGTGGGTGTGGTGTACGACAGAAAGATTCAGACGACGTCATTCTCGCTTGAGGAAATGTCTACGGGTCGTTCACATATCATACGAGAAGCACTTCTCACAGAACAAATGTTTTATACACATATAAGTGTATATTATATATATATATATATATATATATATATATATATATATATATATATATATATATATATATATTTATATAACTGCAGATCAATGATAGGGTGAAATAGCCTTCTGTAATGTCTGCAATTATATAAAAGAAATAAATTCAACATATATAAGCTCATAAAGATCCTTAGTCTCCGATATGTTACCAATTACAGATAAACCACACACAGCATACATTTAGTCCTTATTTGGCTTCAAAAACAACACAAACTATAGCCCAGTCAGTGCAAACCTCTCATCTGTATCTCTTTAATCTTCACCAGCACATGTGACCTCTTGTTAGAAAGTAATTCCGTCATTCCAGAGTTCATAATAGTCCAAAAGGTGACAATAATAGTTAAACATGGCAGTTTGGTCATGGTTTAGGTTGCTGAAAGAATCATTTGCTCCTTTGCTTTTCCAGCTTCTCCTTTGTTTTTTCATGCCTCAGTTTCGCGTTTGACTGTTTCTGAAAGGATCGGTTGCCAGAAGCACTTCAATAATCACACGCATGTTATTATCATCAGCTAAAGAAGTTTTTTTTTATTATTTCAAATATAGTAGTGCGGTGAGCTCTTTGGAGAAAGTGAAACCGCTCGTGCTTTTTGACGGGCTCGTAAAACAAAAGCAGGACACAGCTGATTTTCTTCTTGGCTTTGTGGCTGTTCATAAAGATGACGACAAGGTTTGTTTGAGCTCGGGTCGACCATTGGTTGTTATAATGTATATATGATTACGATGTAATGTCCCGGCTGTGTATTTCAAATGGTGCATCCTTTATTTTCATTCTCCTGTTTGTCCACGAGCTAGTGACGCATTTCTTCAATCCAATAGTGTTTAGCTGTGCGCCTAGCTCCGCCTTTTGGTACTCTTTTGTCTTGCTAGGTACCCTTTGCAAAGGGTACCCAAAAAGTGGTACAGTACAGTTCGCTTTTTGATACCCGTTGACAGTGGAAATGGCCATGAAAGCGTACCGAACCGTACCACTCAGGGGAAATGGGTTAATAGATTACCAATTTAAAAAATTATGATGGCTTTCCAGATTAAAAATAGTCCAAAGTTAACTTTTATAATTTTTTTTTTATCTTCAGAGTCCTGGAACAGACATCAGTCGAAGTTCACTGTTAAAGAGGAGACAATCTCTCAGATATCCTTATCCGTTTTTTTGCATCTGAATCAGCTTAAGGCATACGTTCTTGTTCCTTTTGTTAAATTTACTGTTAAATGAAAAATATCCTTCACAAATAATAAAAATACAAATAAATTAGCTTTCAAAATGTTATTAACTTAAGTTCATCAACAGTTTAAGGTCATGCTTGTTTTGACAGTTCATTTGATGTTCTGAGATTAATGCTAAAGCAAGTGTCTCATGTTGTGTAATGCTTTAAAATAAAAGGCACATGCATACAAAAAGAGAATTTATTGCATACATGACCTGGAAAAATGAACACACTGATTCATGTTCAAATGGCATCTCCTTCATCTGTCTGCAGTTACACAAACAGCGGTTTCACTTTACAAAAAATATATATAAACTTGAATGCTGTACACTTTCTTTCTTGTACAAGTCTAATGATTCTACAACAGGTCATGATATAATTTAAATTGAGCAGCGTGAAGGGGCCAAAATATGTTTCTTCCAAAAAAGAATTTTCATTTTTTTTTTTCATATGCAGTCTTGATTGTACTGGTTGTGAACACAGTATTTTTGAAATGCTTTCTAGTGCCCTTCATTGGTCCAATCAGCAGATATGTGGAAGGAACTGGAAGCGTTGTACTCTTTTTGGTCCATTTTTCAGTCGTTGGCCAGCAATGACACAAGTCCTTTTTTGTCAAGTTCAATGAGCTTAAGGTGCTGTAACGTTTTCAGTGCAGAATCGTTGACTTTCATGTTTAACTTCTTCATCCTCTGAGTGCTTATCGGCCCCCTGGAGGAAGAACAATAAGGATATTTTGATCAATAATAAGCCAAATCATATGGCTGTTGTCTAGTATTAATCAGGTTATGGCTCTGGGTTAAAGGTGGCGTGTTTGCTTAAATATGACCAGACAAACCTGCTCTTATCGGAGAAGTGCTCAAATAACTGCTTATAAAGAGCGTTGAGGTCTTTCAGCTTCAAGTTACCACGTACACTTCGTGGGACAGTCTCAAATGTCTTTTCAGACACATCTTCATGGACATTTTGTGCTGTTAGGAGGGACAAATCGGCTATATGTTACTATTATTGAGATGCTTATGAAAGATGCTGTTACATGTTATGGGAGCATCGTGTTGATTGATTTTGTCCTTACCTTCAGACTGTGCTTGAGATTGAGGTTCTGATGTAGGCATGGCCTTTATAAAAAGATTAAAAATAAATCAATTAAAACACATAATTTAAAAAAAAATGCACACACAAACACTTACATACATATACATGTACATATACAATACATATAAATTTAAAAAAAAATTTTGACCAGGTACATAAACAGGCTTTTTAATGCCTTGTGCACACCGGGATGTTTAATCGCCTGCACTTATAGAAAGTGTTTTTCAAATAGGTTTTTTGATATATTTGCCCAAACAATTTTCACTGGCGATGATCTAAGTGAACGTGCATGATCACTCCCTGACTTTAGATGGCGCTTGATTAAAAACAAAAATACTAATGATGTTTCTGGTTTCCTATCCGATCCGATACCAAGGAAAATGAAGACCAGTATCGGCGATACCGATCCTACACTGATACTTTGCCCAAAAATTGCTGTTTGGGAAATTCAAGTAACAAGTAGTGTACTTAAAAGGGTCACTTTATACTGATTACTAGACATATTATGGGTTACTCTTGTTTATCGATGAAGAATTATCAAAAAAAAAGAGCCAACTTTTATATTTATTGAGAGCATCTGAGCATGTATATCTTAAAACGCTTGCCTGAACATCTCAACATTAAACATTAACACAGTTTAGTGACATGTTAATCCGGTCCCCTTGAAGATTTTTAACCTTTTTCTTTTGTTTTGTTTTATTACCGTCACAAAAACCCAAGTCCACAAAATACAGCCACATTGCCACAATTTCTCCTGCTGCACCTAAGGACTCTGCAAGCGATGCGTCTCGCCCCAGCAGCACCTGTGTCTCTCCTTTCCTCCTCTTCTGACCGCCTATACATGACGTAGTCATATTCTGTCATGTGATTTATATGTAGGTTTTTGATTAGGTTTGTGGTTTTACCACAGTACCTCACTGTTTTGTTGCAGGTGTCACAAACAGCATCGTTTGTGTTTATGGAAGTGAAGTAGCTCCTCACAAAACTTCGCTTGCAGTCACCCATATCCAATGATAGCATGACTGAACAACATGTGCCAGCGAACTGACTGAGTGGCTAGCTAGCATGCTTTGCAGTTGTACAGTGCCATATTATGCACATGACTTGGTAGGCGGAAGAACAAGTAGTTGCGTCTAAGTTGGCATAATTCAGATAAAATAGAGTAATTGTAGTTACTTTCCATTGTATTTTTATTTCCAATAAACTACATATTTGCTCCAGATTACTGAAATATTGATATTTAGATAAGATAATAGATTCTAGAAAGCGCAAAGCTGGTAACGGAGATATCGATATTTTAGTATCGATCCACACATCACTAAAAAATACCCCATGGTACACAAAATGGCACTAAGCAACGCTTCTGACACTCACTTGTTGCAAAATAATTTCCTTGCGTTTTTAGCACATAAGCTTTTTCCACTTCTTTTTAACCTCCTCCACTACTGCTCACAAACACCTAGTCAAAAGTTTGTGGTTAAAAAAAATTTAAATAAATAAAAAGAGGCTTAAAAGAAAATGTGGTGAAATCAAAACTAGCCATCGAATCTTACTTGATCTGAAATTCCTGTAGCTTGGCTAGACTGTTTTTTGCTTAAGTGTCACAAAGTCATGTTTTACGGTCACCTCAGCTGCTCAACACAAGTGAACAAAACCACCAATATCAATGCATGGCAAATTTTATTACTATTGTTTTATATTTTATCACTTATTTCTTGCGTTTTGTGCATCAGTGTGCGCACTCACATTAGCACCTTTAGTCATAAAGCGTTAGTGATAATCAAGTGTGATTGTCCCGGTTTGTATGTGCCTTAAGCTTACAGTCAGTTTTTGTATTTAAATAAAGCATTCATTTTATTGAGCAGGGATGCACTGCAGGGTTCAACAATAAGGACTGCCCGATGGCCCGGGGCCAGCATGAGGGATGCTCGGGACAGTAGACAGAATCCTTACTGGCCCGATCGGGGCAGTGCTGCCTTTTCACTAAATTTTAATAGACGTCAACATAACCGTAACACTAACTTATGAGGCTAAAAGAAAACGTCTGCTTCTAACTTTGTGGAAACTTTTACATGAGTACAACACGACGAAAAAAAATGAAGGGATGTTTTGCTTAGTTTGCCGTCACTTTTAAGTCATACTCTATTTTACTGCTAAATATTTTAACATTTTTCAAATATTTGAATTCTAGATTCACAGACAATATTTTGTGACATTATTTAATAAATGTTGCTAAGGAATAGCAATTAACTTTTTAATTAATTAATTACATTTTTTTTTTTTTTTATGGGGGGCTAGTGAAAATTTTGGCAGGGCAGGTAAAAATCTGAACCACTGGTCCAATTGGGCCAGTAGGAAAAATCCTTAGCGTTGAACCCTGCACTGAATTCAACAAAAGTGACAAAACAAGCAAGTCAATCCCCAAACTATTCATTCATAATGTAAAAAAATATTTTTCCCACAATGATGCATCTTGTTCATAGTCTTATTGTCTTTTGGAGGGAAAAAAAACTTGCTGGTTGAATTAAAGTAACTAGGTCAGCATTTGCCAGGGCTGTGAATAATTTCGGGCTTGACTTGAAAACATTAAGCAGCCTTCAATGTTGATAAGAACTCTAATAATAGTAAAATGTAATTAATAATAAAATTAGAAATGCTAACCTCTACATTTAAAGCAGCAACAGATGAGCAGAGAGCATCTCTTGCTTCTTGTTCTTCTTCTGTCAGTGGTGGAACCTTCAACACAACATTTTAAATTCAGGACGCGCAGTGCAAACTCAAAAACCCAAAGGAAATGACCTTTTCCTGAACATCCTTTAACCATGGTAAAACTATTGCCTAGCCTGTAGTGTAAAAACACTGGCACTAATGCTATGGTTTGTTAGATTTAGTCTGTAGCTGTACGAGTGAATAAACACCTGCACATCTGCCGTGTTCTGCAGTTGTTGAACCAGCTGCACTGTGGTGTCCAGATGAGCTCGTATGGAGTCCATGGATCGTTTCTGTTCTGCCGCGATCTCTTCCACCTGTGCACACAGAGCCGCATGACGTGCTTTGATCGCCGACAGATTCTCCAACAACTCAACGGGGTTTCCCTGAAAAACCACAACCACAAATTTAGAAAGAAAGACTTAGGCCTTGATCACACTGAACCTTTTTTTAAACTTTTTTTCGTTGAGAGGCGCCTTTTTTGAGTGATTTACTAACGGCCGCAAGATTTTTTCACACTGCTCATGTGCCCCTTGAGTTTTACAGCCTGCTGCGTCTCACATTTTTGTTGTTGCGCTCTGTGCGCCTGCATTTAAAAAGTCAACAGAGTGGAAAAACTAGACTACTTCAGTTGCCTCTTTTTCATACTCCCATTAAATGAAAGCAGAGGCGGGGGTTCCTTTAAGGTGACAGCAATGTTTGTTGTTGTCTACAAAGACTTTTAAAGATTGATGAAGACTAGTGGTCACTGTTTCGAGTTATTCAGAAATTCTTGAATATCACAATGTTATTAAATATTACAATTCTAACAATATCGACAGCAACGCTCTTGCACAATACCAACGACTATAAAATACACAAGAAATGTCACACGTATAGTTTTGAATGGGGAAAAGTGTAAAGGTCAATATGGCAAATGAAGCCCCGCATTCTAGAACAGGAGCCAATCATCGATGCCATAGAGCACAAGGTGTCAAACTCAGTTCCAAAAGGGCCGCAGCTCTGCACAGTTTAGTTCCAACCCTAATTAAACACCTGATCAAACTAATTGAGTCCTTCAGGCTTGTTTGAAACCTACAGGTAAGTGTGTTGGAGCAGGGTTGGAACTAAACTGTGCAGGGCTTCGGCCCTCCAGGAATTGAGTTTGACACCCCTGCTTTAGACTGATGATTCTCCGGGGGAGGGGATCGGTCCAGACGTGCGTTTCTGCAGATTTTGTGTGATTTGAACAATTAGAAATGAAACTAAACCCAGCAGGCACAGGTTATCAAAATGATATCAGATCGACGTTGTACCTTAATATCGTGGGACATTGCATTTTGTTTGGAAATGAAAATTGGGTTGACGTCAGAACCCCACATCAATGTCAAACATCAGACAAACGTTGCATTTTGGTTACTTTCCAACACTACCTAAAAACTACCAAATATCAGTCTAATGATGTTACAGCTTGACCTTGTTTAGACGTTACCATTATGATGTCTATCAGACGTTGGATTTTGGTTGCCATACCTGCCGAATAAATGTCAGTATTTGCATCAACATGACGTTGGTTTAAAATATTGGCTCGACATTGAAACATAATTTTCCAATACAACCTAAAATCAACCAAATATCAACGTCATTATTGGATTTCAAAATAACATTGTCCTTAGACACTGGCAACCTAAATCTAACCTAATACTAATGTCTTATAAAGTTGTGTCTGCTGGGAAGTTGTTTAACTTTATCGGTGTTTCCTAATATGAATTAATTCCTAAGCTTGGCAAGCTATTTTGGAGAATTTGATGCCTCTTATTCAAACCGATTGACCGAGAGGCGTTTCAAAGATGGCCACTGACTGAAATGGCTTGCCTTTAAGCATAGGTCTCAAACTCAATTCCTGGAGGGCCACAGCTCTGTAGAGTACTGCTCTGACCTTAATTAAACTTAAGCAGGTGTGTGTTGGAGGTGGTTGAAGCTAATCTGTGCAGAGCTGTGGCCCTCCAGGAATTGAGTGTGAGAGCACTGCTTTGAAGGGACTTTTGCAATACGCAGCTGATTCAGTCATTGCCTAGCGCCATAAAAAGCGCAGAGCACTTCTTTTTTTCTTTTCAATAATAAAAGGCAGTGTGCTGCGCAGTGCACCTCGGCTTCTTAGAATGGAAAAGCACATTCGGTGTGATCGGCCACTTACTCACAATTTAAAATTTACAAATGAATGTGAGCTTACCTCAAATGTGCCAGCTTCTCGCGCACTGGCCATGAAGTCAAATTTAAGCCGCTTTTCCACATATTCGATATCAGCTTCTGCTTTCTGGAACTACAAGGACACATCATTCAGGAAAAGGCAAATATACACCTTTTAAAGTGTATTGCACTCGATGTACAGGCACTCAGCATGTCCACTAGAAAGATCCAGTGTTTATTTCTCCAAACATCAAGGCTTTTTGTTATACATGTCAGTGTACTTATGTAACTAGATTTACATGCTTCTTTTTTTAGGGGTTAGTATCAGTATGTTTGTTATAAGAATATCTATAAGCTAGTGTGCTACAAAGCAGTGACAAATAACTTATCAACCTGATATAAACATCCAAAACTTGCAGTCAATTTCATCTTTATGGATCAACGATTTTTCTCACATCACCTCATACTTCAGTTTCTCATCAAATCTTGACCAATCAAATGCTCTCTAGTACCTGACATGACCCACCCACTTCAAATAGCTTATCATTTGCTTTTCATTTGATGAACTTGAACTTAATCACTCACTGGCAGAGCTGCGATTAATGGGGTATATGCCGAAGCATGCTAATAGGACTTTTAATTTGCCAGTAGCCTGGGTTAAGCGCTTAATTGAATACCAATTCAAAATCCGGTGAGTTTAAGGTCTGTTTTCTTTAAAAATCAGCGATCTCCACTGGCTGAGTGATATCCGATTTAAAGTGGGTCTCAGATTGTACAAGAAGCACTGCATTAAATTACATTTCCCCCGCCATGTCTTTATAATATGACCATTTATTTTTACCGCAGTATATTCAATGGAGCTTCTGCGTTAGCCTGCCGATTCTGACGGGCGCGTGCGAGTAAACGGCTTTTTGTCTCGTTTTACGCTTGAGCAACTAAATGAATGCCAAAGTTTATTTAACTGAATGTATTTTAATGACATTACAACATCGATGCTGTATAAGGAACCGTATAAAATGGAAAAAAGTTCACAATAACAGGTCACCGGAAGTGTATCAGCATGGGAACAGCACTAGCTCGGCATATACCCTATCAAAACTACACTGGCTATTTTAAAAGGGGAGGAGCTACCATATGTCCCACCCTCTCTGTGTCTCAGTTGAGATTGTCAAACATTGAATAAAAAAAAAGCACATTTCTAAGCACTTCACGAGACCTTAAAGACCCTAAATTGTAGCTTTGTATGTGATGTACACTAAACAAACACATTCAAAAATGTCATCAAACTGTCCGCTGACAAATTTCACACACATTGTTTTAATCTTTTTAGCTGTGATCACCTTCCATACACACTCGTGATTTTAACATGTTAAAGCATTGACGAGACTCGAGTTGATTGCTGCTCACACGCAATTCACTTCTTTGCCCATCTGACTGAAGGTACAACCTAAAACCTAAAACCCTATTAGCAATATTGCACTACTCTGAACACAGTGGACAGCAGAGGCAATACTGATAGGGTCCCAAGAATTAGGATTAATTCTTAAACGACCTGCAAAACAAAGAAAACAAACCAGCAATAGGAGACGACGCACCTTTTCAAACACACCGTGCAAAGCTGCTCTCAGACGCTTTGACAATACTATTGCACTGCTAGCTGTCCAATACAGTAGTGCAATGAAGTCAGAGCACCTGTTAACAGCACTTGAGGACCGGCCACGCTGATGACCCTACCTTTGAGAAAAATCCCTGGCCAATGCCCTTTTAACATTGCACTGCTTTAATAACTGGGTTATCAGTAGTACAATATAAAAGGGGCACTGGACAGACAGTACACAATCAGGGTGCTCCTTTTGCATGCTGAAATACTTAAATTAAAAGCCTGAGAAGAAAAATGACAGTCGTCAAATCAACATTAGAAACAAAAACACTGCAGTACTGGAATCCAGAGATGTTTTATAGAAAGGGAAATAAGTCTAATAGGGAGCTTTGCTTGGGAAAGTTATACAATTTTATATTTTTCATAATTTTACTTTATCAACTTAGAGGTCCTTCACAATTTCATTTCATAATGGACTTTTGATATATTTATTTATTTTATTAAGGTAGACTAAGGTGCTGCTTAAATGTGACCTTATATTACCGGCCCGTAGCCAGGAGGGGTTCGGGTTGTTCAAAAGACCCACCCCTCACTTACAAAGGTCCAGATTTTGACCCATAACCAAGCTCATCTTTCCTATTTGCCAACATGCTAACATAAATTGTGAAAAATACCCATCTAAGTAAGCTTTAAGACCAAGCAGAATCCCCTGTTGGCTGTAGCTTTGGTGTGATTTCAGCTAATCAGTTTTGGCCAATGCATACTATTTTTTTTTTATGAGTCCAAAATCCATTTGTGCAAGAAATGATACAATCTGATGCGAGTGAAGTAATCCTCTATGGCACAGGTGTCAAACTCAGTTCCAAAAGGGCCGCAGCTCTGCACAGTTTAGTTCCAATCCTAATTAAACACACCAAGTCAAACTAATTAAGTCCTTCAAGCTTGTTTGAAACCTACAGGTAAGTGTGTTGGAGCAGGGTTGGAACAAAACTGTGCAAGGCTTCGACACTCCAGGAATTGAGTTTGTCAGCCCTGCTCTTATCTAACTTTTTATTCAAAATCTTGGAACTTGTTCTTAAAAAATCACCAATAAAATGTGTGAAGCACCTAAAGTGACCCAGTGTTTCCTCTAGGATTTTTTCCAGCTGTGGTGGCAGGCCTTTTTTTTTTTTTTTTACACAGATCTACCAACTACCTGTGGCGTTATTTCAATGACAAATGTCGTGGGCGCATTATTAGAAGTCGAGATCGCATTTTTTAATAGCCTACAAGCATGCGGATCTCTTTGCTTGCGCGCCAATTTTCTCTGCTCATGCACAAAGACCCCACCCATTGAACAATACATTTAGCTTTCAAAGCTGTTAACTTGTTTGTGTTTCAAAATGTCATCCTTTACATGTCCACTATAGTGGACACCAGGACCATCTTAATGTAATTAATGACTGCATGTTGTAGGGGGCAGAACTGAAGCAGAGAGGATTCTTTATAAGATAGTTGAGAGAGATTCTGATTTAGAGTCTGACAATCAGTTTTAAATCACTTTTATGTGAATTTGGTTTTGGATTAACATCACTTTTTTTTTTGGGCTCTCTTTCAGAGTAAACGGTTTCAGGAATTTTAATACAAAATGAAAAATGGCTTTTTTGTTTTGTTTTTGTGACATTAATATTGGATTAATATCCCTTTACAGCCATATCCTGTACTGTTTTGTTGTGTTAAAGTTAAAAATAAAAACAAAAAAAACTCTAAATTGTAGATTTGTTTTTAACCCAATGGTGTAGGAAATCACAGGGAAAAAAGGAGGATAAAAAGTTACTAATGTTGGAAATACTACGCCCCCTATTGCCACCTAAAAATCTAATGAGATTTGAACTCATGAAAAAATATATACATTAATGCATGTTTAATGTATTACTTAAATCACTAAAAGACGAAGGTGGCATTAACGACATATGTACATGCATGCAATCTTACTATTAGCAAGACATTACAATTTGCAATACGTCTTTCAAAACCAATAGACTAGACATATTTTGTGTAACTTAAAATTATCTGTTCCTAACAACAGTTCTAGAGCGATAAGCTCGTTCCTCGTGTACATAAAGCCCTCACAATTTACAGATATATCAATATCTCGTACTGTACAGTAAGAAATAAAGTTGGTGCTGCAGCGCGCAGTCTCGCGGACACGCGCACAGGCCCTCCCGCACCCGCAGTCCCCTCACCGCCGATTCACACACCAGCTATCCAGCTAAACCAATATTTTTGCCCTGGATATCGTGGTTTCGTTATAAAATATGCACCTCATAGTTATTTAATAGTACGTAGACTGATCTTTGAATTAAAAACGACTGAGTACTGCATTAGCAGTGGCACTAGCTAGCCATCAAGCGACATGTTTTTCGTAATTTTCTCCCCTCCAACCTGAGGGAAAGTCAGAGGCAAATACATAACATGCAGCTCTTCGTGTTTTACTCTACATCACGTTTTCTAACATAAAAACGCAGGTGTTATTACCAACTAGACGCATACGACCGCAATATACGCAAAAACATTTGATGTAAAGGTTTAGCTGAGAAAAAAACAGCTTACCATCGCCTCCAGCTTATCAACTGTCTCCATGTTGAATAGTTTACATTCCTGAAGCAGCCCCGGAAATATAAAGCTCGCAGCAGAACGCAAGACCGTCTCTGATTGGTCAGCTGTCACAGAGTGGGGATGGTGATTGGTCCGTTTGGAAGGAGAAAGAGGAAAAGGGGCGGGATGGAATTCTAACGCACTTGTTCAGAGTGAGACTGTACCGCATACGTTACTCTTTGAATATGTGTAGTGGGAAATATATGTTGGGTGAGCTAAATTGTCCGTCGTGCATCTGTGTGAATGATAGTGTATGGGTGTTTCCCAGTGATGGATTGCAGCTGGAAGAGCATCCGCTGCATAAAACATATGCTGGATAAGTTGGCAGTTCATTCCGCTCTTGGGACCCCTGATCATAAAGAGAATTTTACTTTTTTTTTTTTCTATTACAAAAAATATTTTATATACAAAGAGTTCCCAACATTACACTCAAACAGATTTTGTTAGTTTAATTAGTGTCCAGCAGTGTGTGGCTTATTTGTAACGCTTTGTCAGTTACGACTAACCCTGCAGTGTTGTGTTTTCCCCAAAACTGGCTAGCAGTCACTCTGTTTTTTTTTTTACATCTATTTAAATGGTTTCGTCTTTTAACCTAGAAGACGGTAATCACAGCAAAATAAGATGTTATGTTTATACTTTCACAATTAAAAAAAGTAATTTTATAATGACGGTTTGTTCTGTAGACTATTGAAAAAAATATATTAAAATATATATAATTTTGTCCTTAAAGTGTTTTTTTAAAAATGTAAAACTGCTTTTCTTCTAGCCGAAATAAAACAAATAAGGCTTTCTCCTGAAGAAAAAATATTATCAGACATACTATAAAAATTTCAGTGCTCTGTTAAGCATCATTTGGTAAATATAAAAAAAAAGAAATAAAAATCAAAGGGGGGCTAATAATTCTGCAAAAATGGTTTCTCCTGTATTTCTCTGCCAAATTTCCCCCAACTTTTTCAATAACTGGCAGGAAGATGTCTGCTGACACTGTGTTGAAAACCGCGGAAGCATGCCATGGTTAACCCTGAGCAAATACCTTAAAACTCATTGTTACATTTTACCCTGCATTACTTTGCGCCCGCTTCCCTACCTGTTTTATCACTTGTGTTTCTTTATGGACATTTTGTCTTTTTCATTTTTGATTTTGACAAGTAGGGCGACGCGGTGGTGCAGTAGGTAGTGCCATCTCCTCACAGCAAGAAGTTTGCTGGTTTGAGCCTCAGCTGGGTCAGTTGGCGTTTCAGTGTGGAGTTTGCATATTCTCCCCGTGTTCGCGTGGGTTTCCTTCGGGTGCTCTGGTTTCCCACACAAGTCCAAAGACATGCGCTATAGGTGAATTGGGTAAGCTTAAATTGTCTGTATGTTTGTGTGTGAATGAGTGTGTATGGCTGTTTCCCAGTGACGGGTTGCTGCTGGAAGGGCATCCACTGTGGAAAACATTTGCTGGATAAGTTGGCGGTTCATTCTGCTGCGGCGACCCCAGACAAATAAAGCGACCAAGCTGAAAAGAAAATTAATGAATGAATTTTGACAAGTTTTTGTGTCTGAGGATCGGGTCCGTTTCACAATGCACTGGCCCCTTATGGCTGATCCTCCATGCTCCCACATCACTCCTTTTGTTCTGTTTATTATTTTATGAACATAATTTATAGGCACAGCCAAGGGAAAGAGGGGGGCAGGTGTGGGGACTTCAGGATTTCAGCTCATTTGCAGATGATGTTGTCGTGTTGGCTTCATCAGACATGGACCTTCAGCTTGCACTGGGACGGTTTGTTGCAGCGTGTGAAACAGCAGGGACGAGAATCAGCACCTCCAAGTCCAAAGCCAAAAAGGTAACCTCTCATCTCAAGGTTTGAGGAGAGTCCTTGCCCCAGGTGAAGGAGTTCACATATTTTAAGGTTTTGTTCACGTGTGAGGGAAGGATGGGTTGTGAGATTGCCAGGTGGATCAGTGCAGCGGCAGCAGTAATGCAGTAGATGTATCGATCCATTGCGGTAAAGATGGAGCTGAGCCGATTTACCTTGATTTACCGGTCAATCTACGTTCCTACTCACACCTATGGTCATGAGCTTTAGGTCATGACCAAAAGGACAAGATCTCAGATACAAGCGAATAAAATGAGCTTCCTTTGCAGGGTGACAGGGCGCACCATCAGAGATAGGGTGAGGAGCTCTGCCACCTGGGAGGAGCTTGGAGTAGAGCCGCTGCTTCTCCACATCAAGAGGAGCCAGCTGAGGAGACTCAGGCATCTGTTTTGATGGGGTCCTGGAGGCCTCAAAAAGGGAGGTGTTCTGGGCTTGTCCCACCAGGAGGAGCCCCAGGGAAGACCAAGGACACGCAAGAGGGACTCTTGTCTTGCCTGGGAACACCTCTGGATCCCCTGGAGGAGCTGGAGAAGGTGTCTGGGGAGAGGTAAGTCTGGGGTTTTATCTTGAGACTGCTGCCCCCATTATCCGGCCCCGGATAATCAAAAGTAAATGA